ATTTGAGGCTGACCAATCACTGTTCAACTACAATTAACAACACATGTGTCATTGAATTTGTCTGTAGTGCAAGGCTTACCTCTTAACTGTATATACTTTATCCCAGTCCAGTTTATTTTTAATAAATTTTTTAAAAGATACAAAACTTCTTTTTATTATTTCAGTCGCTTGCAATTCAAGTTCTCATTAATTTTAAGTTAAATTCAAACACCGACAAGGACTGCGAAGTAGACCGATGATAAAACTGTGTCGCCGTGATAGCAAAGAGAGCAGTTCAGCAACTATTCAGCACTCTAAGAAATAAGTTCCGTCGCAAAACACACTCCAAGTAATTAATGTCTGATTCGACTCAATCAGACTCACATGTACTTACTGTCAGGCAGAGAGTTCGAACTGCCAAGCACTAACAACGCTAATTTCTCGTTTGTAAGTTACATTTTGAATCTTTCATTGGGCTCACCGTGTTTTACAAGAAATTTTGATTTGAATATTTGATTTTTGATTGAAATTTGAAAGTTTGATATAATTCTTGTGTAGGTCCTATAGTTAGCGCCAGCATAAAAGAATCAAAAGATATGATCTCAAAAAATTTAGTCAATATAGAATTCAGCTCATCTGGAAGCTTATGGTTTCCTGATAATAATTTTAAATTCACAAATAATATTTAGCATGCAAAAAATTTGCTTCGAATTTCGGTCTTGCATTAAGTTCAATGGAAGAATTAAACTTCAAATCTAATTTCTCCTGCTCTAAATTCCAAGTCTCTGATTTCTTATAGCTAAATGCTCTTCAATCTATCATCCCATGAGCAATTTCACGCTCTCAAGTCTCAACGAATTACCTATATGTTTTCCGTAACAGAAAAAACGCCCGTAATCTTTAGTGTATGCAATTTCAACAGAAAGAACACACAAGTTGTCTATACAATTTTTTGAAGGAGTTTCTAAGTTGAACGCAGCAGCCAGCTTGCAATCTCTTTTCATGAGTGTTTTATCATAAACCTCACAAACTCCGAATGCGACGTTGCGAATTTCCGCTAATGTTTTTTTCTTTTTCCTCCATTACATTTTATAAATAGCATATTTTGACCTTTTCTGTGAATTTCTCTTTTTTGCCAATAGTGTAAAACCGAAACCTTTCCGGAACCGAAACCGTCTTCACACGGAAACCAAGGGCATTTATATTGTTTCTAAAATGAGCCAGAAATAGTGTTTCCTTATTTCCTTATATCCTAACGCACATTGTATTTTCCTTTACTGCATATTTGTTTTCATCAATTAAAATGAGAATAATCCATACAGAGTGTGCAAACATTTCAAAGTCATGAGTTGAACAACGCTGACTCCACGAGATTAAATATTAGAGCCTAACACAAAGCGGAGCGGCGGCGCACTGGCGCCTACAAACCTAACAGGGATACTTCACGCACTGCGCAATGCGTGAAGTATCCCTGTGAGGTTTGTAGGCGCCAATGCGCGTTTCGCGCTGACTGCCCGCCCGCCGCGCTGCGCCGCAGCGTACCACGGCGCTTGAAGCAACTATTTCACACCAGAGGTATTGCACAGTATCATACGAAATTGAAGGCGCTCCAACATATCAGGAATGGCAGGCATCCCTCAAAAGTACGGAGTTTTCCTCGCAAAATAAATCAAGATACTACGGCTCAAGAAGAGAGCATTCCAAAAACTCACTAAGACCTAGCATCCGTAATTAGTAACGTTTAGCATACACTTTATCGTCGGGCTGTTGCCTAATCGCCATCGGCTATAAAAGGCTATAAGAAATTGTGTTGCCGGCTATAGAAGCTATTGGAAATCTTACAGTCGGCTGTAGGTCTATGGTATTTTGGAACACAGATTCTACTGCCAATTTTTACCAGGGTTGCGATTAAGGAACCAATAACGCCTGCAATTTCGTGTCCATGCAAAACGCGCATCCTTAGACTTAAAGCATCCAGAGATTGCTATTAAGGAAACAATAGCGCCTGCAATTTCGTGTGCATACATCATGCACATCCCTTAAGCACGAATAGTTGTATCCGCGTAGTTTTGTGAAAAAGCCGTAGCGCTTTCAGTTGTAACACTTGTGATAATAGGATATCGACGGTGTAAGTCGGCAATCACATAACTCGGTTTGCGACGTCGCAGACTCCCTGTCATACTTTATTTTTAAACGACACGGAAGAAAATAGGGTAGTCGACACAACCAGCGGCTGGTTAAAAATGCGCCAGTTACATCAACAATCATTGATGTAACTACCGGGTCAGTTGGGACCTCCACCGCGGTAGTTACCGTAACTACCGCACGGTAGCTGGCGCATTTTTAATCAGCCGCTGGTTGTGTCGACTACCCTATTTTTTTCCGTGGAAAACTACTCAACGGCAATTCTTTGAAACTGCCGTGATATTTCTTCTCTGTGCGAGGAAAATTCTGCATTAACTTCAAGGAATGATGTATGTCAATTTGTTCTCCTTTAAACGAGTTACGTGATCGAATTCGTTTAGTGTACGTACAAACCGCGAGTCCAGCGGGCTGATTGTTGAGATTGATGGACAAAGCTATAGACATAGAAGACAAAAAGAATATGGAGGGATCCTACTGGTTGAAGCAGGTGGTTGCAATAGACAAAGGAGGTAGGTAATAGACTAAACTAACGCAACCCATTTTCTGCCTTAGTCTACAGGAACCGCCCATTTCAACCGATAGGATCGCTTTATACTCCCTATGCATTCTTTGTCTATAGCTTTGTTCCACTGATCTTCCCGCGCTTTGTTCTCGGCCAATCAGACACCCGACGAACACTTTTTCATTCATGGAAATAACATGGCGGGAAATCGAAACCATGTATTTTTTTTCGGATTCAGTTGATTTCTCAGCAAAAATATGGTCACGACTGACGTCTTCAGGGTTTGGCGTTTCTATTGATGGATGATACGTTCCACTTTCTCCAGGGCCGGATTAAGGGGTTGGCCACATGGGCCGCGGTCCATGGCTGCAAATCTAGAGGGCGGCAAATTTTGCAATTTTTTTTAATGTAGGTATAAAAAAATATCGGATGTAGAAAAAAAAATACAAACGAGAAAAGGCGACAAAATCTCTCATTTCCTGAGAGTGTAGTGATTTTTAATTTTGTCGTATTTCAGTGATACAAGAGACAGCACCTTTAAGTAGTCGAGTTAAGATATAAATCAAACACGCAATTTGGCCTTGAAACACCGCGGCGCAGAGAGCAATGATGACGAGGACTTGAGATGAAAAAGAAAAGTCATCGGCGCGGCGATCGGCATGTAACACATATCAGCGCCTACAAGATTGCACGAATACTTCACGCATTGCTCCAAACACAGTGCGGTCAGCGTTAAATGCATGGCGCCTACAAGACTGCGTGAATACTTCACGCATTGCGCCAAACACGGTGCGGTCGGCGCGGCGGCGGAAGTTAAAATCATTAATCATGTTTGTTCTTTCATAATTTTTTCGTTCATTTCTTATAAAAGGAAGGCCTCGTCCACACAGAGATAGGTTTACAAAACTTAACTTTTGCTAGTAGTGTTGACTGGGCATCCCCAAAAAATGTGTTCAACACGAGTAAACGTGTCTTATGCACCCCTCCCCCCCTGGCACGTTCACTTGATGGTTTTTATTGATGTTTCAATACGAATAAGAAGGGGGCGGCAAAATACAGGCGGCCAATGGGCGGCAAGTAGGTAAATCCGGCCCTGACTCCCTCCAAAAAAACCGAAGATCTTGATTTTGCTGCCGATAAAATTCAGTGGCATTTTCAAACAGATTCAACCACCCATTTCTCTGAAGAAAATAAAATGCACTGGAAAAAAAACACACTGGATCTTGAGTCCAGGCTCTTGAAACATTGACAAGAAAAAATACTCTTGATTCAATCAGATTTTTGCTTAAATCAAAAGGAAATCCGCTCAAATTAAGAGGCTTGGTTCTTGACTTAAACAAAAATCCGATTGAATCAAGAGTATTTATTCTTGTCGATGTTTTTAAGAGTCTGGACTCTAGATCCATTTTGGTTTTCCAGTGTAGCAGCGGAAATTTTGAAACGTCGCATTGCGCTTGTGATACTTTGGCCGGAAGGTGAACATGTTGTCCCTGGCTTGATCCTCCGGGGAGCGATAAAGTGGGAAATCCCGCGGTGGAGATGGCAAGGCAGCTTGGATTCGCGGGGCAGTGGCGAGCCCTGGGTTAAGGGGCCCGCGACCACGCGGGCCTCCAGTACTCCCGAGGTTTAAAAATTTTCGTCGCCATTTTATGTTTTTTTACATAGAAATTGGACTACGAAGCTGTCCAAAAATGTCACAGAATTTTCTATGTGCTGCCGATAAAATTCAGCGGCATTTTCAAAAAGATTCAACCGACAATTTCTCTGAAGAAAATAAAAATGCGGCGAAAATTTTGAAACGTCGCATGGCGCTTGTGATACTTTGGCCGGAAGGTGACGTTATTGTCTCTGGCTTGATCCTCCAGGTAGAGCACCTGTATAGCGAGAGTATGGACAGATCGCTTCATGGAGGTCTTTAGGGCCCAAAATTGCAGTCATCCTCTACCCAACTTCTACCACACAAAATTTCACTGTCAATCTGCTGAGTCTGCAAATTCCAATTCTAACCAAGATGGCCGAGAGAGCGTTCTTCCGCAAAAATGAGTAAATTTATGCAAAAACTGAGTCAAATACGTGCTTTATAAACGACGGTTCGTAACAATAGTATTAGTAAATCGTTCTGGATAATTGAAATTCATAGGTTGGCTGCATTTCTGGGCCCTAACTTTATTCGCAGAGGCATCGGTGAAGGCCTGATGGATTTTCGGAGTTTCACATCTGTCCATACTCTCGCTATGCAGGTACTCTACCTCCGGGTAGAGATAAAGTGGGAAATCCTGAGGTGGAGATGGCAACGCAGCTTGGATTCGCGGGGCAGTGGCGAGCCCTGGGTTGGGGGGCCCTCGACCACGCGGGCCTCCAGTACTCCCGAGGTACCGCGCTCGCCAAGTCGCACTGCCACCCTGAGCCGCGCGACCGGACCATGTAAATCTCCGCCCGGGAAACCGAAGCAACCGCCCAGATTGTGATAGCAACCCACTGTGATACTCCATCCTAGTGCAAACCTGTGGTCCTCAGTGCTCCCTAGTGACCGAAAGATGCTCGCGTGCTGATCCGCCAATCGGGTAACCATGCGGGTGTCCGGGTTCCGCGTCTTGTCCGGTGTCTTGTTCAGTGTCTTGTCCGTTTCCGTGTCCGTCGACGGGGTTTCAAGTGTGTCCGCCGGGCAGCGCAAGGCTCTCCAGAAGACGCCCCGATACGAGACTGATGATGCCGTCGTCGTTCACGGTGAGTCCAGTCTTCGCCTGACGATTTTTTCGACCCAAATCACCAGCGGGCTCACGGAAAAAATTAAATTTCTGATTTGACGATTCAATCATCTAAAAAGAGTGACTGCAACGTTCCAACACTGAAAAAAAAACTCCGGTCGTGGGAGCCGCAATTACGGGTTATATAGACATACCGTCCGTTCCGGGCTCAAAGGCCGAAAATTCCGGCGGCTGGAGGCGTAGCTTTGATTGCTTCGGGTTCAGAGGCAGAGGCTACGGCTCCAGCAGCCGGAATTTTCGGCCTTTGAGCCCGGAACGGACGGTATGTCTATGTAGCCCGTAATTGCGGCTACCACGGCCGGAGTTTTTTTTTTCAGTGAACGTAGATTTTACAACAAAAAAATGTTTCTTTGACCACTATTGTAAGCTAATTTAACGGTGGTTAAAGTAGCATTTTTTTTTTGTTGTAAAATCCACATTGAAACATTGCAGTCACTTTTTTTTAGCAATTGACTTGTTAAATCAGCAATTTAATTTTTTCCGTGCTGATTATTGAAATTGACAGGCAAAGCTTTACACCGAGAAAAAAAACTTCGGTCACATGAGCCGAATGTACGGTGTTCAATATCGACCGCATTGTTCGGTTCATGCGACCGCACAGCTCGGTTCGTGCAACCGAGCATTCAAACCGCAAAGAATTTACGAAAAAGCTCGGTTGCTTGAATTGAGGATACGGTTCCCAGAATCAAGCGAGAGGTCGCATGAACCGAACAATACGGCAGAACAATATTGAACACCGCACATTCGGTTCATATGACCGAACTTTTTGTCTATCGAAAAAGAAGACAAAAAGGATATGGAGGGATCCCATTGGCGGAAGCGAGTGGATGCGCTGGACAAAGGAGGTGGGTAATAGACTAACTGACGGCAACCCACGAGAGACCCTACAGTAAGTCCATCTTAACCCCCTTCGTGTAAAAGAACCATCCATTTCAACCAATACACAGGATCGCTCCATAGTCCCTATGTCTTCTCCGACTATAGCCATGTATATAAATTTCAACAATCAGCCCACTGTTTGTTGCAATCAATAGACAAAGCGATGGCAAACGAAGACATATATGAAGAGACCCAATTAGTTGAAATGTGTGGTTCCTATAGACGAAGGAAGAAAATTATGGACTAACTTTAAGGTCTCTCGTGGGCTGCCGTTAGTTAGTCCATTACGTGCCTCATTTGTCCATTGCAACCACCCGTTCCTACCAATAGGATCCCTCCATTACCTTTTTGTCATCTTTGTCTATCGCTTTGTCTGCTAATTCCAACAATCCGCTAGCGAGGATCGAAAAGAGCCAAATTCGCACGGTTCAATTTTTCATCCGACTTTTCCGACTTTTGAGTGGAAATTTTTCCTACTTGAATTGCACGGTAAAAATATTCTTATAATTAAGTTTGAAAAAAACTTGAATAGAAAGTTGAACCGTTTGAATCGGGCTCCATTCAAGCGTTGGGTGCAGAAAGGGTATTTCTCTGTTTCGATATCTCAGGATCTCCGTTGACGTTTCACCCACTATGATTTTTATGACCAAAGGCACGGAATCCGTTACAACTTTTACTGAATGTTCTTTAAGATTTATCACGGAAAAAAATGGATTCCTGATTCAACAATTAAATTGTTACAAAAAAAGTGACGGACGTGTTTCAAAAGTACATTAAACAATGGTGGAAAGCTGAGTCAACACAGGTGTGGTTAAATTACCTAGCAATTTTTTTTGTGAAATCTACATTGAAATATGTCTGTTACTTTTTTTTAATACATAATTGTTAAATCGGCAATTTCTTTTTTCCGTGATGCTGAAAACTAAACATTTCAGGAAATTTACCCCATAGTTTCCTTTCAAAAATACAAATTACAAGCGAAGATCCTGCAACATTGCAATCAAGAAATGTCCTTTTTGCACCCAACCGCTCAATTATGCGTGGTTCAGATTATCCGTTTTGCTTGAGTTTACTTACTCTTTCATGACAAAATTGTGCGTATTTTGAGGCGCATGGCTCTGAGCCTCTGCAAAGTTTTCTGGACCGAGAAACTAGTGTCTTTGACCTTGTTGTGAAGATCTACTACCATGCCTTATTCGCCGATGGTGAGAACTAGTGGATTCGAGGAGCATTTCAGACCAGACTACCGAACTTTTGGGGGGGCATTTTATCACACTGGGAAAAAAAAACACATTGGATCTAGAGTCCAGACTCTTGAAAACATTGACAAGAAAAGGACTTTTGATTCAATCAGATTTAAGCTTAAATCAAAAGGAAATCCGCTCAAATTAAGAGGCTTGGTTCTTGATTTAAGCTTAAATCTGATTGAATCAAGAGTAGTTTTTCTTCTCGATGTTTTTAAGAGTCTGGACTCTAGATCCAATGTGTTTTTTCCAGTGCAGGCTTCATTTCATTTTGCAGCTTCATGTCTGCCTAACGAGAGATCAAAATGCACTAGTGCTGAAATTGCCATAGAAATAGAAAAAATGCAACCGAATTTTGAGTTTGAATGAGTTCTTTTTTTAAAATATTTTAGGAAGTCTTAGCTGACTCTCCAAAGTTGGACAGAGCTTATAGTCACACCCCAATAGAATGCACTGGACACTTTCTGACTTTGATTCTTTTTGATTCCTCGACACCGAACTTTCGGTTCGTGTGACCAAACTTGCGAGGTAAAGTGAACTGATGAAAGTAGTTTCGTTACATGAACCGAACTTACGGTTACACAAACTGAAAGTACGTTATGACGTACCGAATAGTTGTGGTGACAGAGAAAACCGAGCTTTTTCATTCAGAGAAGCTATGAAAACAGAGAATCGACACCTTGGACCCAAAATCGGTGTTTTCGCTATGCTGAGCAATGTAATTTCCACTTTCAGACACATTCTGCCTGACTTCACCACATATTGTAAAGCCGACTTTTTAATGGTTACGCAATCATGCTAGGAGCCTGGAAAAAAATCAGGTCTGACCAACAAAGTAGAAAGCCTCTGCTTCCATTTTCCCCTTACCAAATCCGCTGGAATCTACATCTGGCTCTGGATATCACCACATTGTCGAGAAATATATGGATGTATTTATGCTAAAAAGAGCCATGTGTACAGGGTTTGCGTGAAATATAGCTCCTTTAAGAATAGATACATCCATATCGTCGCTCCTCTGACGTAAGGGCGTATCTCGATTTTCGCATGAGCCTCAGAAAGCATTTTATATGTGAAACAGGGCTCACGTAGAAATTGAGATATGCCCTTACGTCAGAGGAGCGACGATTTATCTACTCGTGCACCTACACGTAGTTCTCCGACAAGTGGGATAAGAATGAATGAAGGAATATAATTCAATGAATGATTAAAGCACGTCCACCTTTGATACCGGATAAAGGTGAAAAATCAGCACTTTTCTCCATTTAAATCCACGTAAAATACCTGCGTTCAATCGCACAACTTGGCAAATTTGACGCTCATTTGCCTTCATCAGCGGTAAAATGGATGGTAGTTGAGGGGCTCGGAGGACAAAGCGGATAAGTGCTGTTTTTAAAAAAATTGCCTTACTAATGATTTCAACTAAAACTAATCTCAAAATATATTCTGCAAGATATTCACCACTAAAATCCAATTTTTAAGCATCAAAAAGTAAGTTTGATGAACTTTCTATCCGCCGTGAGGCTCTTTGTAATTTTGAAATTTTAAACACGCATTTCTGGAAATAGCAAAGACCCCACTTTTGCGCCTTGTCCAGAGGGTGTGACGCACTTTGCGATACATCGATTAATCTGTCATTTAAACCTATGAAAAAGGATCGATAAACAGGGTGTGCGCCACGAACACCTTAGTTAATAATCGATTCTTTACCACAGCTTCAAATGGGGAAATATCGATAATCGAGCATTCACGCCCCGCCACTGCCCTCGATTCATGAAAGCACCTAAAAGTATGTATCGTTATATATAAAGCGACACTCCAACTATTAATAAGTTGGAAGTAAATTTTTGTGCTGGGATTGTAATCGTCATACAGGTATCCAGGTGCATTTTTATTTTATTTTTCATTTTTCCTCAATACCAACGATGTTATGAATAATGATGAAGAACTCTGTCCAGTTTCCCGAAAGTTTTTTAGAAGAATCAGTATTGATCGAGGAAAGATCATGCTTTATTCAGAGCGATGAGGATTTTTTTTCTCACCGACGTTCTCCAGTGCTAAAGGGGAGAGTAGCGCTCAAGACTTCAGGAAAATTTTCAAACATAAGGGATGAATGCTATTTTTAGCATCTAGCCAAAGAAAGCAAATTCAATGGTAAATTGCTAAACACCGGCATTTCAAAATTTCCACTTACGTTTTATTATACACATGTAATATAAAACATTAGTGATGTACCAATTGTTCATTATTTAGAATGCATTTCCAGGCCTTCGGGACGTGGTGCTGACAACTGCATTTCCAGGTTGTGAGTACTTGATAAAGTTTTTTTTTTTTTTTTTTAAACTCGTATGAAAAGAGAAGGAATCAACACTGCCGTACTAAGGAAAAGAGCCGTATGATCATTTGAGAGTTGCCAGATTTCCTCCGATAGAATGTTAATTTTTGAGGAGTGTTACGAATATTTTTCCTTCAAATTTTCAGGTAATATAGATTCAATTGCAATTGAAATTCTGCGAAGAATTGAGAGAAAAATATCCAAAAGTTTTCCAGGAAATTCGCATTACATTGAGAGAAATTTGGCAATGCCCGAAGGCTCATGAGGCGTTTTTCCTCGGCACATCAGAATAGGTACTAGTCCCTAAAATTTCCACATAATCGGTATCCTTCACACGGAAAAATTAGGAACATTTTTAAGAAACAACATTAAGAACTTTTTCGACTTGAAAAATGAATTACGGCAGAAAGGCAGCATCCTCGCAAACCAAGACATCCGTTTTCGCAGTTTCACAGTCCAGGTGCTGTTTTGTCTTGGTGCTTATTATCTATATCCGGCATAGCG